CTCTACCACTTGAGTCATACTCCCCACCCTTTTGTTGTGTGTGTGTGTGTGTGTATACACACATATATTACATTATATATACACATACATACATATATTATTTTTTTGAGATAGTGAGCCAGTAACTTTGCCCTGAATGACCTCCAAATTGTAATTCTCCTACCTCTGCCTTCTGAATAGCTGGAATTAGAGGCATGAGCCACTAGGCCTGGCTTAATAGAAGCCTTTCTATTTAAATGATGACCATGGACTCTGATTCACAAAATGGAGACCCAGGCATGGGAAGAAAGTGATGTCATCTGATCCAGGTCTTCTAATATGTGTGGAGAAAGGATGTCTCATAGTTTGGATGTTAAATGTCCCCCAGATGACTATGTGTTAAAGTTTTACCCCTCAGCTTGATACGCTTGAGAGGCAGTGGAAACTCTTAAGAGTTGGAGCTCAGTGAGAGGTCTTCTGATCATTGGGGGTGAGCTCTTGAAGGGGATGTGAAGTCCTCCTACTATTGTTCCCCCACAAAGTGAATAGCTTTACTCCATCAAATGCTCCTGCCGCACCACAAGCCCAAAAGGTATGGGGCCAAACAATCATGGACAGGAGCCTATTTTGCAAGTCAAAATGAACTCTTTATAAGTTGCTTATTTCTCTTTTCTTCTCTCTCTCTTTTTTTGTGCTAGTACTGGGGCTTGAACTCAGGGCCTTGTAGTCTCATTTGGTCTTTTCACTTAAGGCTGGTACTCTATCACTTAAGCCACAGCTCTACCTTTGGCTTTTTGCTGCTTAATTGGAGATAAGAGCCTCATGGACTTTTTGACCTGGACTGGCTTCAAACCATGATCCTCAGCCCTCAGCTTCCTGAGTAGGTAAGATAACATGAGTGAGCCCCTGGCGCCTGACAAGGTTTTTTGATATAAGTAATTGTGTTTGTCTTTACCATTGTGACAAAAATACCAGAGAAGAGTATTACCTTCTCTCAGTATCAACAAAGGAGAACAGTTTTTTTCCCCCCTCACACTTGCAGTGGTTTTAGTCCTTGGCCTGGAGACAAGGCCAAATATCAGGGCAGAGTAAATGGTGGCACAAAACTGTTCACTTTTATGATGGCTAGAAAGCAGAGGGAAAAAAGCAAGGGCTGGGGACAAGATATATCCCCAAAGGTATACTTTAGTAACTTATTTCCACAAATGAGGTCCTACTTTCTAATAGTTCACTTGGTATAAATACATCAATTGATTCTCTTACTGGAGGTTAGCACTTTCACAATCCAGTTACCTCTCAATTGTGCTACCAGCTGGGAACCAAGCCTTTAACATCTAAGCCTTTGGAATGCACTCTATATCAAAATCATAATAGTAATGAAAGGCCAACTGACAATGCCAGACACCCATAGCTCATGTCTATAATCCTAGCTACTCAAGAGGCTGAGATCTGAGGATCACAGTTCAAAGCCAGCCTAGCCAGGAAAAGTCCTTGAGATTCTTCTCTCCAATTAACCACCAGAAAACCATAAGTGGAGCTGTGGCTCAAAGTGGTAGAGTGCTAGTCTTGAGCACAAAAGCTCAGTGCCTAGGCCCTGAGTTTAAACCCTACAACTGAAAAAAAAAAGCTGACTAACCACATGCATGTGTGTACGTATATACACATTCACGTACACACCAAAGGAAGCTGGGCTGAATGTAGTCACCTGTTGACAAATGTCTCTCAAACTGTGTCAGAATTGCCAGGAGGAGTTGTTAAAGTATAGCCCTTCTATGAGGTCCTATCCCTAGAGTTTCTGATTCACTAATTTTGAGATGAGTTTAGAGAATTTTTTTATGTCTTTTATGTCTCTCTGAGAAAGGCTGAAGTTACTGATCTGGGGAATCATACTTGGAAAACTATCGTCTTAAATAATTTGCATCGACTAGCTCTTCCCTAATGCGCAAGGCTGGATCAAGCTAATTTTTGTAACTGAAGATCCTTAGGGTGGACAGAAATCCTGGTCTCTCTGTGAGTTGGGAAAGAAGACCCATTAACTCAGTGGGAGTGTCCAGGTGGCCTCAGAAAATAGGGAATAGCCTTTAACTTCTGAGTTCTATTCTTGTACAGACCCTAAACAGCTTCAGACAGGTTTAAATATCTCCTTAGCTAATTCCTAGTATCTCTGTTCGCACTCCTACTGGAGGATGATAGCTCTAAGAGGTGTTAGGAGATTAGGCTGAAAATGTAGGTCACTCCTCTTCTCCCCCCAGCCATCTGGGAACCATAATATATGAGAGAGGAGAGAAGACAGGGACACACATGGGGAAAAGGTGAGGAGAAGCAAGTCTTGTGAGGGCAGTTATGAAAGTTAGCCATTAGAATAGTGGTATTTAGATTTCTATATCTTTTGGCAGCTCAGAAGGAGCTTGAGTTCCCTCACTCTCTCTTTTCCTATTTGGGGCTGGGTTATTTAAGAGTGGAAAGTTCTCCACGGGAAAAGTTTCTCATCTCTATGCTAACATAATCTGGGGGGGGGGTGGTGGAGGGACAGCAGTGGCATAAGCCAGCCAAAGTGGAGGTTGGGAAGGAGCAGAAATATAAGGATACTTGAGAAGAGGAAACAGACCTATCAGGACAGGAAAGAGTAGGTATAAGAGAATGTAAAGAACACTTAAAGAGGTGCACAGAGTCCTGGAAGGTGGGAGTTTGCTTGGAGTTTGTCTAGCCCTTGGAGTTTGTCTAGTCCCAAGCTTTGGATGGTGGAGGGTTGAGGTTGTGTTCACATAGAGGGAGAGTGGTTGGGGTCATTGTAGCTCTCTGTATTAGAAAACTAAGTACATATGAGTCAAACCATGAGTAAATGTACTTGGAAAGATATCCGCTTCCCTTCACTGAAAACAGTCATACTTGTCTACTCTTCTCCCTTTCTTCTAACCCTTCAGGTCAATGCGATATGCAAATGATCCCTCTACCTCATTGGCTGAGGCCTGAGCATCACGGATGATCTCAAGGAGCTAGCCCTTTAAGAGGGCCTATTAGGCTCTGTGCCCACAGCCCCCCCTAGTTCTAAGCACAGGGGTCCCAGGCATTGCTCCATGGCTCCTTCAGTTTTGGAGGAAGCTGTGCTCATCTGGCTCTGACCACATCATCTCTGCCATCTTTAAAGTGAGTATGTCTGGAACCCACCTGACTGTTAGGTGTCTCGTGTACAATCCCCTCCCCTGCTACCTGCTATATGCTCTCTGTTGCTTGCTTTCTAGCAGCTTCACATTTCTGTATCCTGCTTCACTCACACCCTGGCTACTATCATATCAGAAAGGTAAGCAACCTTCCCTACTTATTTCATCTCTGTGTGCTCAGGTCTTTTTGCACACCTCTCTCAATGTCTCACCATCTCCCTCCTGCTAGGACCAATTCCTTTAATTGAAAGCAGCAACTCTTCCCTGGGGCAGTTTTCCTTCTATCACTCTGGTTAGACCTTGGGGGACTGAGATGTGGCTGAAAAGAGGTCTACCTAGACTTGAAACATTGAGAGGGAGCCAGAGTCTAAGCCTTGGGGATAAGCGCTCTCTGTCCTGCCCCTTTTAGGAATGAGGAATGGGTTGTTGTAATTGAGAGTTAGGCTACCGCTGCAACTTGCAGGCTGGAAAGGATTTCTAAAGTTCTCTAGATAGAGATTACCCAGGTTGACATGTATTCTACAGTTGGTAACAGAGGTGGGGGGCACGGGAAATGACACACAGAGAGATCCTTGGTGCCATCTTTGGGACAGTCTATTGAAGTTAAACAGATGGTTTGCTGAGTGACTTCTCAGGTGAATGTGTGTTGTACTTTGTGAATCTGCCAGAGGGAGGCTAGGAAGAAGTCTTGTCTAAAATTGTATGAGCATAGACCTTTTTATTGGTACTGCTCAGAATTAGTGTCCTGTAGAACACTCTCTGGGATTTTACAAAGTCTAAGTGCCCTCACTGAACAGAAGGAGAAGCAAGTCAGGAAGGCAAACTTGAGCCAGGAGCCGGTGGCTCATGCCTATAATCCTAGATACTCAGGAAGTTGAGATCTGAGGATTGTGGTTCAAAGCCAGCCTGGGCAGGAAAGTCCGTGAGACTCTGATCTTCAATAAACCACTCAGAAAACTGGAAGTGGCACTGTGGCTCAAGAGGTAGAGCGCTAGCCTTGAGCTAAAGAGCTGAGGGACAGGGCCCAGGCCCAGAGTTCAAGCCCCATGACCACACACACAAAAAAAAGGCAAACTTTGTCTGCACTATGTTGTATGAACATAGCAGGGTCTGAATGGAAGGAGGCTGATCAGTCATGGTGGGCTCCTGTTGGAGAGATTGGCCTTGAGATGAAATAGGGGCCATTCTATCCTGATCTTTTCAGAATTGGTTCTAGGAACTTTTCTTTTTCCCTTAGAAAGTCTCAAGCTCCTGTAAAAGAAATTCATTGATTGATTAATCCATAGAACAAATGTGCACTAAAGTCTTGTACATTTAAGACACTGTCCTAAGGGTTTTGAAAGATACAATTGTAATAGTATAGTATCCTTTACCCTAGAATTCATAGCATACATGCCTTCCCACTGTCTTAAAACACCACACACACTTACACACACACGCACATGCACACACACACGCGCACACACAGTTAATTAAGCACATTTTTAATTGCTACTTGTTAATGGACTAGTGCCTCTGGAGATGACAGAATCTCTTAGCATGTCTAGTATTGAGAGGATTGAAATCACTGTCATACCACTTTTGTTTTTCAAAAATCATGGTGGTACCAGTGGAGTGAGAGGCTGTGTTGTCTTTTCCCTCCTGCAGACCTTCAGCTGTCTGTGATCTGTCATGAGTCCCTTGCTACCTGAAGAGTGGCCCTCAGTCTAGTGGTGGCTGGAGGGAACAGGGTTATATCTTTATTCTGGCTTTCCAGAACTCTGGCTCTGGAGAAAGAGGGGTTTGGTAAAAGGGGGTGGATGACAGGCAGCCCATATTTCCTATTTCTTGCAGGCTCAAGTCCCCCAGCCCAGTCCCAGAATGGCATTGCCCCCCAGCCCCCTGGCCATGGAATATGTCAATGACTTTGACTTGATGAAGTTTGAGGTAAAACGGGAGCCCTCGGAGGGGAGATCTGGACTCCCTACACCCTCACTGGGCTCTACACCCTACAGCTCTGAACCACCTTCACCCACTTTCAGTGAGCCAGGCATGGTGGGGGCCACGGAGGGCCCTCGGCCAGGCCTGGAGGAGCTGTATTGGTTGGCTACACTACAGCAGCAACTGGGAGCTGGGGAAGCGCTGGGGCTTAGTCCTGATGAGGCTGTGGAGCTGCTGCAGGGTCAGGGCCCAGTCCCTGTTGAGGGTCCCCATGGCTACTACCCAGGGAGCCTGGAGCAAACAGGAGTCCAGCATCCTCAGGTGAGTAATTAGCAAGCTGATCTCTGGTATAGGGAGGCCAGCCGAGGGAAGATGCTCGCCAGGACAGGAGGGTTTCTGGAGTGGGTTGTGGACTGAAAAGGGCAGGAAAAGGGAAGAAAGCCCCTTGGAAGAGATAAGATAGAAAAAAACAAAAGCTATGTGGCTTTATTTTCCAAAAATGCAGAGAAATGAGTAGGTTCAATCATGAGGAACTGGGAGAAGATTAGAAGGGGATCAAAAGGGGAAGGGCTGTAAATTAAAGAGCGAGGAGGGGGGAGTATGACAAGTAAACAAAGGTGGGGTGTGGAAGGGAGCCCAGTTAAGGCCGCAGTTAACGTTGGCCTTGTCAGGGATTCGTACTTCGCCTGAGTCCAACCTTCTCAGGAAGGATTGGGACTCATCCTATTAATTATAGACACAGATGGGGGGTGTTGAGCACAGGCATTAAAGCATAATCTAAATCCTTTGAGGGTCACAGGGTTGTGGCCTTCCAGACAGAGAAAAGGGGCATACTGGAAAGACCAGTCCTGTCTGGGTGCGGGTTCGAGTCCACGTGGAGCCAAGAGGAGGGGGGGGGGCTGTGGCCAGCCAAGAGGAGTGGGGGGGCGGATACTAAGCGTTACGGCGCACGATTGGCTAGCTTGTCCGCAGGAGGCGGGGCCTGCATATGGGGCGGGGGCTAGCCGGGCCCCCGGAGATCTGTCGCGGACCTGGGGTAGGGTCTAGCTTGGGACAGATTCTGTAAAAGAGAAAGGATTCAGGTAAAGATGCGAGCCTGGGGAGGAGTCTTCCCAGGGCTTGGGCCAGCCTGGGGTGGGGAAACCAAGTCCCTGCACTGTTGTTCCTCCGCAGCTGGCTGAGAGGTTTTCGGATGCGGCTCTGGTATCCATGTCGGTGCGGGAGCTAAACCGGCAGCTGCGGGGCTGCGGGCGCGACGAGGCGCTGCGGCTGAAGCAGAGGCGCCGCACGCTGAAGAACCGCGGATACGCGCAGGCCTGTCGCTCCAAGCGGCTGCAGCAGCGGCGCGGGCTGGAGGCCGAGCGCGCCCGTCTGGCCGCGCAGCTGGACGCCCTGAGGGCCGAGGTGGCCCGCCTGGCTCGGGAGCGGGACCTCTACAAGGCCCGCTGTGATCGGCTGACCTCGAGCGGCGCGGGGTCCGGGGACCACACCCACTTCTTTCTCTGAGCCCCTGGGAGAGGGGGTGTGGGGTACGGTAGTGGCTGCACCCACGTGGGTGGCACCATGTGGGAGGGGGGGACACGGTACCCATCACTCCCGGGAAACCTTTAGATCTCGTTTCATTCCCTGTAAGACTACGTAAATATTCCTAAACTTCTGGACCCTCGTGGCAAGCCCAGGTTAGATGCTGGTCATTGTTCTGGGAGCTGAGTCCCCACCCCTTGCAGGTTGTGAACGCACCGGGCTCTGCAGAGGACGGAGTCAGACCTGAGAGGGGAGAGAATGTAGGACAGGAGGAAAGGAGTGGGGCCTGGCCCCCACCTCGTTTGGTTATTATTATATTTTTATTTTTGCCGAGCCTGGAGCTTGAACTCTGGACTTGGGTGCTATCCCAGAGCTCCTTTTTGCCCAAGGCTAGCACTCTACTACTTGAGCCACAGCACCATTTCTGGCTCTTTCTTTGATTAATTGGAGACAATAGTCTCAGGAACCTCCCCTCCCCCCTTTCAAACAGCCATCCTCAGATCTCACCTTCTGAGTAACTAGGATTACAGGCCGTAATTCAAGGTTTTCGACCTGTAGTGCATTAAGGCTGTAATGAGGCTGCATTTTCACTGAAAGTTTTATAACTTTCCCATTTTAAAATGACTGCGTTTTCGAGATTTTAATTCCCAATAACAATCAGACTAGAAACTCTGCCTAAAATGTTTTTCTCTGTCAAACCTAGGGGCCTTCAGGGCCCAGAACAGCTCAGGGCAGAGGAATGAGCTCCAGGGTGGCAGTTAGTATTTGTTGGGAGAGAGCCCTAGGCAGGAGCCTGGAGACCTGGGCACTAGTCCCAGCTCTGTCACAGGATCCCTCTGTCACCTTGAGCAAATCAATTGCTCCCCTGGGCCTCAGTTACTTTATCTAATCCCCATTCGGATTGGATGACTTCTGACACCTTTTCAATTCTGGCATCCTCCCTCCCGCCTCTCCCTCCAGTGAGCAAGTCCCAATGGTCTCCCCAAGAGGACCCAAGATGACCTCACTAAAGGGACAACCTGTCCTCCAGCTTCCTGGCCAGAATCTAAGCAGTGGAAAGAGCCTCCCAGTTGGGGAAGGAAGCATGGTTTCTCTGGAAACTCTCACTCAGACTTGTCCGCTGCTTGCTCCTTTCAGTCTGCCTAGGCCTTCAAATCTGCAGAGAGGCTTCTTGCTACCTCTTGCTTCTCAGGGCAGAGATGAGACTTCTCCAGATGAGGAGCTGAGTGGAGCTTTTGTGAATTAAACTTGAAGTCTAGACAGAACTCTAATACTATTGGCTAAATGTTCTTGTAATTTAAGAAGTGTTCATTTTCTAGCACAGCTTCAGACTACTGTTTGTGTGTGTGTGTGTGTGTGTGTGTGTGTGTGTGTGTGTATGTGTGTATGTGTGTGTGAGTTGTGGGAGAAGGAGAGAGAGAGAGAGAGAGTGTGTGTCTCTATGTGAAGCTGAGCATTTCTGGAGAGCCAATAAAAATGGGATGGAGGTGGGATTGGTCCAGATGGAGTCTCTTTCTCCTCCTCCCACCACCACAAAAGCCCAGGAACAGCAGTGGCCTGACTAGGCCGATCTGTGGCTATCCTGGAGGTCTCACTGTTGCTATGGCAACTCAATCTTCCAGTTCAGCAACATAAGGGACGGGCCAATGGGGCCTCTGGGTAGAGTAGAGGTGTTGAGCTGGGAGAGAAAAACCTCATCAGCTACTATGCCTGTCCTCTTAGGGACATAATAAATGGGAGAAGCAGTTGGGTGTGGGGGAAGTGCTTCCATATGTCTCTCTTCCTTTCTGCCCTCTCTATCCGCCCCCCTGTCCAGCTGTCTCTTCTTTTCCCATCACAATTCTTGTTCCCTCCTCCCCCTTCTCTAGCTCAGCTTATGCTTCCTCCACTCAGAGTCCTCTTTATCCCCCTCAGACTTTCTCTCATTTCTTCATTTCCCACCTTCAGCCAATGGCCACACACACACACACACACACACACACACACACACACACACACACACACCACACATGCCAGGGGCTTGTGCTCTTGACTTTTTCATTCAAGGCTGGCACTCTACTAATTGAATCACAGTTCCACCTCTGTTTTTTTTTTTCTGGTTAAATGGAAATAAGGGTCTCACAGATTTTTCTGCCCAGGTTGGCTTCAAACCATAATCCTCAGATCTCAGCTTCCCAAGTTGCTAGAATTATGAATGGTGGGACTGGGGCAGAGAGGATATCTCCAAGAATTCAGCCCATCTTTCCTTACTCAGTGGGCTATTTTATTTTTATTTATTGCTACGTAGCCCAGGCTGCCCTTGAACTCAAGATCTTCCTGCCTACACATTCTAAGTGCTAGGACCACAGGTGTGCACACCACATCCTTCCCTTACTCTGAATTTCACCTGTGTCCTCACTTGCTCTATGGATCTGCAATCTAGATTCATCACCTCTTTTACACTTGTTTTTTACATTTTCTTTTCTTGGGCAGGGGGCAGGAGCAGTATTGAGATTTGAACTCAGGCCTCATGCTGCCATCTAGGCATTCTAACTGCAGAGCCATTCATCCAGCCTTCACACTCACATTTCTTACATGCATAGCACACAAGGGCAAAGGTGCCAATTCACCTATGCCTGTGGACACAAGTAGGCCATATATCTATATATATCTTTAGATTTGAGTCTCAAGATGATACCTAAGGGGTATCACAGCTTGCCCTCAAACAAAAGTTGCCCACTATAGTGATGAAGAATGTGAGCTCTTTAGCCACACTCTCTGAGCTTGGGTTCAACTTCTCATTCAACTAGCTCTTTATTGACTATGGGTGCTTTAAAAATCAAGCCTTATTGCTTTGTCAGAAAAATGGAAAGAATATGAAAGTGGAGGTATGGTTCAAGTGGTAAAATGCCAGAGGTGAGTAAGAAAAATGGTGCTCCCATTTACTATTATAATGTATGCACCTAAAGAAATACAGGTGGATAGTAAAGAATCATTTTGCTGGAGTTTTTGAAACACTGAAACCATGCTCATGAAGAACTAAGGGTGTGTGGCACACTAATATCAGGAATGTCAGGCCTTTTATCCTTAAGTGCCCCCTCTGGAATTGGATGCCAGGGGCTCACACCTGTAATCTTGCTACTTGGAGGCTAAGATTTGAGAATCACAGTTCGTAGCCAGCTCAGACAGGAAGGTCTCTGAGACTCTTATGTCCAATTAGCCAGCAGAAAGCAGGAAGTGGAGCTATACCTCAAGTGGTAGAGTGTTAGCCTTGAGTAAAAAAAAAAACTAAGAGATCCAGGACCCCAAGACCAGCATTAAAAGGAAAAAATAAATGCCTCTTTTATGCTTGTAACCCATTAGAAGACCTGCTTCCTACTTTCAGTTCTCCCCCAGTGTCTTAGTCCGCCCCACAGCTGCGTGGGGGTTGGGGTTCAGCCCCTTGGAGACTCAGCAGGGCCTCTTTGGAGATAGTTATAATATAGTATCAGACTGCCCTCTTGACAGCCCCTTATTACCTTCCCCAATCTCCTCTGCAATTAACCCCCATGTTGTCTAGACCCCCTGGGCTTGGGAGGTGAGGGTGGGGGCCCTTTACAGCCTACTGGCACATATTGGGGTAGGACTATAGAGACAGTGGCCTTTTCCTGCCGTGTATGTGAGAGCTATATGGGCTGTCCAATGAGCACCTGAGGAATGAATAGAGGCTCAAGGGCTAGGTTGGTTTCCTTTATTAAAGGCCAGAAAGTCGAGGTTACTGAAGGAAGTCACTGAAGGGGCCACAAAGTCTAGGGCTTAGAGAGCTAGGGGCAGGGCCCACCACTCATTTCCGGGACCCAGGGGACACAGCTGATCCAAGAGGCAGAGGCACTGGACACTCAAGTCACAAGGGTCAGGACAGGCACCTGGGAGGGGGTGGGATAGTTAGAAGCATCCTCTCCACTACACCCCACCAAGATGGGCTCCTTGAAAGTTTTACTTTGTACCCCATTTTTGTGCCCATCCTTTTGAGTCCCCCAAGACTTACTGAGAGGCTGAGGGAGTGTCGTTTGGTGAGAGGAAGTCAGGGGCTAGGGCTGGGGGTTGTAGTGGGTGTGCAGGGTCTCGGAGCCCCGGGGCTGATGCCCTGGCTGGCGTAGTATTCCACCACCTGCCGGGGCACCTCAGCCAGGACACACTTAGCCAGCGCAGACGGCGCTGCCTGGGGAAAGGGAGGAGACATGCGGTTAGGGGAGGGGAAGGGGCTGGGTTTTGGGGGTGGTCCGCATTTTTCCCCAGGTGAAAGATAACGGTTCTGAATCCGAGGCTGGAGGAGCTGGGAAGTCCTTTGGCCAGGAGAGGGCACCAAGTACTCACATCCTTGAAATCTCGGAAGGGCACGAACTGGACGATATCGCGGGCTGCGGGCACCCCTCGGGGGCAACGCAGGGGACCATCGTCGCCATCCAGTAGCCGCATGTCGGAGAAGTCGGCATTGCCCACACCAACGATAATGATGGACATGGGCAGGCGGGAGGCGCGCACGATGGCGGTGCGCGTCTCAGCCATGTCGCTCACCACTCCATCCGTGAGCACGAGCAGCACAGAATACTTCTGAGATGGGGGCAGAGAGAAGGGTCGTCTCCGTGTGTATAGGGCAAGCCCAGGCCCTCACCCTGGAACCACCCTAGGACACAGGCAGCTCCTGCCTGTTGGTTTTGCCTTCTCACCGTGGCTTGGCCGGTGCTCTGCTCCCGCTGGGCGGGCTCTGCCACACGGTTGATGATGGGAGCCACATTGGTGGGGCCATAGAGCTGGATCTGGGGTAAGCAACGTCGATAGGAGGCGATGACCCCGGCGATCTCTGTAGGAAGGCAGAGAGAAGAGGTGAAGCTGGCCGGGTTGAGGAAGGAGCCATTCCGGATACTCCCTTAAGACAGGGTGGGGCGTCTGGCTTAGAACTGTCAGCCTCTTCAGTTGGGTGGTCATTCAGGCAAAGGCTGGAAGTTTTACCAACCTCCTGA